ATGTCTTACAAGTGGAAAACAAATTCATAACTATGTATGTAATGGGTTAATTTCATTTAAAAGTTTATTACACATATCTATAAAAAGCAATTCTTCACCTTATTTCAATACTAATACATCCATATTCCTTTGAAGGTCATTATATACATGTCCTGAGATACAAATTATGACATATAGCAAAATCAACATCAAAGAAAGCTGACATTTTGGATGAGGACAGCCTAAAGGTGTTTTTAATAACAAACTGGACTGAAAAGACACTGTGATATCTGGAAGGTAGATGATAGTTTGTTCTACACAGCATGCTAATTTTTCCTGTCTGCAACACAGTAAATTTTCAGATCTGTGTCATTAAATATATTTAAAAGTACTAAAAGCATTCTCTTGTAAAAAAAAAAAAAAAGTCTGTTACATATACAGTATTGTATTTGATGCAACTAATCAATTTCTATTACCACTCTCCTGTTAAAAGAAAAGCAATCAATCACAAGAATATATTAAATACTTAAAAGTGAGGTTAGAAACTGATGCAGAAAACACTGATTATATCCATGAATCTTGTGATTATTTCACGTGATATTTATAAATGAAAAACTACAAAAATTTTGTGTAAAGACTGTTGCTTATGCAGATTTATGGTATATGTTTGCTTCACATAACGATAAAATGGACCACTTGTTTGGAATTGTTGTTTCATTTAGAAATTAATGCTCTGTCAATAGTTCAGTATATAAAATTCCATTTTCCTTGAAAACCAATCTTCTGGACCTGTGGAGAACTTTAGTATATACATATACCTGTCTTGAATAAAAGCACAAATCATCATGCCAAACTATTGAGACTAATTATAATTAACATATATCAGAAAATAAAATAGTAAGTATTTTCTACTATTTACCTATTTTGTTCCAGTATGTTCGGTTTGTTCCTGAATTTTTGTTTTGTTCCAAATTGTTCCAGTAGATAAATGGACAGGCTTTTAGCTAACTTTACTTACGCTGACCTGAAAATTTACAGATTAACAATAGGAAAATTTTTGATACTATGTGGCGCAAACTGTACCCTGTTATTTCCTGTGATTAGACCCAATACCTTTTAAATTGAAAAAGCCTAAAGCCATCAATAATTTTTATCTGGAAGTTTTCTGAAGACTGTTAAGGTGCAGAGCATTGAACAAGCAACATTTTATAGACTTTGGTTAACCTACATTTTAGTAATAAAGTCTAGAACAATTAATGTTTAAATCAAGATGAGCAAATGCACCTAGTTGACTACGTTGACATATACATTTTCAGCTCGGGTTTGTTACAAACGAAAACAGGACTACTAGTAAATGGATATGGATGGGGGTGGGGTACTCAAAAAGTACCAATGAAACTAACTGAATAATCAATAACATAACAATGTTATATTGAAACAAGACAACTTTGCTTGCTTAAATTCTGGTTACTCAGCCATCATGTGTAGGAAAACATTTACCTCTGAGACTAACAAATATTGAGGAAAGTGAACCTACCTCCTTTACACTGAATGGTCACGCATTTTACTTCCCTAAAATTAGTCTATCATCTGACTTGGCAACTTCCGTAGGGGTCAAGGATGTTTATCTACGGGAAGCAACTCTACCTCATGAAGATTGCATAGGAGTAAAAAAAAAAATAAAAAAAACATTGAATTTTCAAATCGAGCACCTTTAGTCTAGCAATCGGTTTTTTTTTTGTTGTTGTTTTGTTTTTTTTTGTTTTTGTTTTTGTTTTTGTTTTTCTCCTTCTTCCGTTAAATTCAGAAAGTTTTTACTGTTGTTCGTCGCGATTGGAACTGCTTTTGTTCACAGTGAACGTAAAGGACGCTTTATTGGCATTAGGAACTTCTGAGAGGTGTTACGGATGTAATATGAAGTTGTTTACATTTGCAACATGCACAAATCCTCTATGTTACATGAATTCATTAACTGTGGCTGAAATGTATTTGGAAATTGTAGTTGTGGAAACTGTACATAATCTAAGCACAAAAGTAACTAAAAAAATGTCTGCTTCTTCGTGCTGAAAAAAAAACAAAAACAAAAAAAAAAAGAATGCGCCTGAATTAGTTTACGGGGGCTCGTATCATTGCTAACAATTTAAATATCAGTCGTACATATAGTTACAACTAATACTAGTATTATTTCGTACTGTATGTATGATGTACTGTATATATGACTGATAGATAAGCAACAATACGAGCCCCTGTGAATTAGTATAAAATACAATATCTTTAGAGTTATTAGAATAAGGAAAATTATTTATGCCAGACTAGACAATGCTTCTAGAAGTGCAGTTAATGATTTAAATTATATATATATATATATATATATATATATATATATATATATATATATATATATATATATATATATATATATATATATATATAAAGATGTCAGATCTAGTTTTTACAATGTATTTCCAATGTTTAGGGACTGAAAATGATAGGCGGAGTTAGCAGTTTTTTTAAATAGTGAACCTGAGGTAAGGGGGCGTTCATTAAATGATGTCAACAATTTTTAGCCAATTCTTTTACTCCCTCCCCCAGGTCAACAACTGTCAAACTTTTAGTGACCCCTTTAATAAAATTATGTCAAAAATCCCCCCTCAAACTAAGAATATTTTATACGGCTGGCATTTGCCTGAAAGAAACAAGAGTCTGTTATCAAAGTATACAATATATTTGTAAGGCATTAAAGTTATTTTGTCTGGTTGAAGATGTATGCTTGTGCGGCTACATAATTTATTTTATGTATTATGTTAAAAATGAATATAATAGTCAAGCACTAAAATTTCCTAGGCTCCTAGGCTCAATTATCCAATCTTAGAGGTATAGCTCATGGACTATATATATATATATATATATATATATATATATATATATATATATATATATATATATATATATATATATAATCAACACATATAACAAAGATGCTATTTAATAGAAGTCCATGGATAACTATACTGTTTAGATGTCTATGGCTCAGTGCAGTCACAATTTTCAGATTAATACCATGTGTTGTTAATCTGTGTACAGTCCACAATCTGCATTAAATGAAAATGACCCCTAAGTCTGTATTGTCTTAAAAAAAAAAATATTACACACATCAATCATACACTAAAATAAAGAGAATTAAGGTTCTTTGAACAATACTTACGATATACAAATCTTTTATAAATCGTCAGTATGACTGTAAGAAACCCCCGGGAAATTATTTTTCTTTAAAAACGTAACCCAGAATACGAATTATAGAGGGATTCCAAAGCATTACTTCATACTTACAAATTCACAATCGAAATCATCTCGGCCTTTGCTTTGGTAAAATATGTGGTGCACTCCGACAGAGGTGAATCGCCCAATTCAGAAAATCGAGGTATATTGTACCACTGTATCCCTGGTCATTTCGCAAACTGACGAAAATGACCAATGATTGTTCCGATCGTATATTATGGATATACTCCCAAGGTACGGCAGATTGCATAAAGAAAGAATAATGTGTAGGTTGTCAGCAAACATTTTGCAAGAATTGTGTTGAATGTTGGCACTTTATTTTATTATTTTAGTTGCATTAACTACTGAAGAAGATACTGATATGGGACGACTCTGACATTCGCTCCCGTAAATCAATCGCAGCCACGTGAGTCGGAGGCGTGTTGTACCAATCATTGAACACTTGCAAGTGAGTACTGTTTTTATTACTTCGTATTATAAAACTGACTGTTAAACAGTCTGGCGTACCTCATTATATTTTAATGTTGCTTTGTAATTTGGAGTAATTTTTAGTTTTGCCTGATAAATTTAAGAAGGGCTTAAATAAAACTGAGCAAACATTGCAACAAATGTATCGCACTAAACTATAGTCTATATTCTGACTGCATCCCAGTTTGTTTGTACAACCCTCGTTACCGATTTCAGTAACGAAAACGTTTAATGTTATAAAAAGTGCACATAACAAATTCAGTTGAATCATTTTGATTTATAATTTCTAACATGACTGTGACCAGAATGACACTAAAAATGGCATCCCCTAACACCTTTTATGTTTAACAGACTTCCCTGGACCAACAAGTAGGTCTCTGCTTTTTTTTTTTATCTGACAGCACATGTCCGATAAAAAAAAAAACAAAAAAAAAAAAACAGAGACCTACTTGTTGGTCTACAGACTTCCCATGCTGACACGGCGCCATATTCCGTACACTATGGGCTATTTTATTTCCATCAGACAACAAAATGACGAAGTTCATCCTATTTGTTGAGTGCCAGATAATTGCGTAAATTACCATAAACGTTGAATTTAAAATTATATCCCTTTGCACACATGAACATATTAATTAAACCGCTTGTTAAATCAACGTGAAAGGCAAATTTGTTGTTGTCAATCTTTTCCTTTGCTTGATTAGAAATTGTAAATATCGGAAGCAGACAACAGTGTATGTACATCTATAGTATGGCATACACCCCTCTGCTGAAAATGGACCTGTCCATGAACTGGAAATAGGCCTCAAGCATGTCCGTATATTTATATTGAAAACTTCAGCTAAGCATGAAACGCTCAGACAAGGACGTTGTTATGGCTATTTTACTCAAGAGCGAGGTTAGAAAATATAAATCAATGAATGAATTGGCTAAGTTCCTTACACTTTTTATTATATTAAATATATCCATTATTGAAACCGGTAAATGGGTACAAACGAACGGGTTGATATACTCAGACTAGTCTTACGTCTTACATGCAAGTCGTAGCACGGGGGAGGGGGTTGTTTTGTTTTGTTTTGTTTTGTTTTACACCAAACCAGAAAAAAGTATCGGGGTGATGAGGCTTACGTTGTAGGACTAGTATCGCACAATTCTCGCGATTGGACCATTATCAACGACTATTACATAAGCGACTCAATAGTTCTTTGTCAAAAAGGGTGGTTGGATCTTCGAAGTTCTTTTCTCGCTGTGACATTCTTTTTTTTATTAAATCGACCGCACCGGTAGCCTAGTGGTTAGAGCGTCCACTTCGGATGCGGAAGGTCGTGGGTTCGATTCCCTGCTGAGCCATAACAAAGACTTACAAAAATGGTACTAACAGCTGCCTCGCTTGGCGCTCAGCATTAAGAGGTCAGTGTTAGGACTGGTCGGCCTGGTGGCAGGATAATGTGACTAGGTGGGACATCATGCTGCATGTCTGCGGCATGATGCTACTAAATTTTTAATGCTGCGCGCCAAGCGAGCGACTATTAGTACCCCTTTTTAATGTCTATGGTATGATTCGAACCCGCGACCGGGCATCTGAAGTGGAAATGTGGGCGGGAGGTGGTCTTGGGCAGTTGTAACGCCACTGCCTGTTAACCAGAATCTTTATTTTAAAAAATTGTAACAATACATGTGAACACAGTTGACTGAAGACCTAGGGCATACCATGTGTTAATATATCCTCCAGTTATTCTTGATGATAATTAAACTTAGAAAATATGACTATTTCTGCAGAAATTGTTGAGATCTGAGCTTGAGTGAAAACTTCGCACCAGATGCATGGCACACATTACTAGCAGCAGGAAAGGTGAACAGACATACGTCAATAAGTCTGAACCGAAACTTCTAACAGGGTTGCACTATACCGAGACCTCTAACCGGGTTAGCGCATTTTCGTTATTTTTTTTTCTTGACTTTATCGTGTCAAATTCCTATATGTCCTCGTTTACCTAACCGTGACACTCACCCTCCCTGCTGATGTGTGTGGTAAAAAAAAGTGACGAGTCTCTCAACCAAAAATTATATCGAGACCATTGCGATATCGCAACCGAGGATCACGTAAATTTATCGTAAAAAATCCATTGAGGAATCGCTTGTGCTTTTGAAATGATGTTTTTAAACTTTATCATGTCCATGTCTCCTGAACACCAAGTCTGCTGGATATTTCTAAACGTATAAAACCATTAAAGACAGCCAGAAGATTGCAGTTATCTCTGATCACTTTAAGTGTTAGCGATATCGTTGAGTAACATTTATAATATCGGTGTTTTTGTGTCTGCCTCGGGAAAATCTCCGATCTGGATCACGGGTTCTTAACGCGAGCTTGATCTTAAAAAAAATGCAATAATCTGAAGGGGAAAAAATTATACCGAGTGACAAAATTGACTCGGATTACCCTCATGACCCGTTCTGACATAGGACCCTGTTTATCATACTTATAAAAGAGACAAGGTAAGTAGCTTCGGAAACTTCGTCCCACCATTGACCCTCTATTTCTATTGATCAAGCCTTATTGCTTTTTCAGAATTGAAACAAACTGAAGTTACTGATTCCAAAATGTACAAATGTAGTGAATATTGGCAGCCGGAACAAAGTTACGCTCATGTAGAACGTAATATGATTGGCACAACATGTAACATCATGGACCAGATGCATGACTGTTCTGTAAATATTACCCTTTGAGCCAATCATATTTATTTTGAAAATAAATGTAATGTGTATTCGATTTGTGTGGACTTTGATTAATGAAAGAATGTATCATAGAGTCGCAAATACCATATTTCTCAGTTTAATAGGGCTAGTTGAATTCCAGAATTCCTAAAATTGAATAGAGTTAATGGTAAATAGGAACATACTTTATCATCTATCATTGTTCTCAAATGAATGAAGGCATCTATCGTAGAGTCGTAAATATCATATTTCCCACTATAATAGGATAATATACACAGGAGTGTAACTTTTTCTTGGCTAGCAGAATTCGCGAAATTCGTTCGTTTCGGAGCCCGTAAACAGTGCCGTCTTAACAACATTGTAGGCTCTGGGCAAAGCAGTGAACTGGGGCCCTCTACCGGCCATACTATTTATTAACAATATGGATAGCATGATGTCCCTAGAAGCGGGAGGCCCTGGGCTACTGACCAGTATGCCCATGCCTTAAGACGGCACTGCCCGTAACGTCAGTTTTGTGCAACTCAGAAAAATAAACAATGGCTTGATGAATAGAAAAAAAAATATATCATGAGTGAAACAAACCATATATAAAACTCGTGTGCCGTCAAAGACGTAAATAGCAGAATAAATCGAGGGTAAATCGTGCAACGAAGTTTTTCGAAGTTATTTACCTTTTCTCATTCAGAGTATAATAAACAAAGTCCTAAGTCAAATAGGGTCATGGGGATAATGTGAGATAATTTTGTCACGATATAATTTCTCCCCCTTCAGATTATTGGTTTTGATTCAACATCTAGCCTGCTTCGATCACTTGTAGGCTGGATTTGATTGCGAAATGTGGTACAAGAAACTACAAATTTATATCTTATGCACAGGCATCGATATCGCTGTTTTACTGGGAAGAATTACCAGAGACCCCATGAGATAAGTATCCCGGCGAGAAACAAGTTTCTTCATATAATTATTGTTATCCTGGAACCCGAATTGATATTCGACTTGATGACAAGGTTATCCAAGATCGGGAGAGTGTTCAGTAAATACGATTGACCAAGCGTACCACATTTATGATGTTGCGTATAAATATCCAGATCTACAACAATGACATATTGCAGACGTGAAGTTGATTCACGCTCTAAAGTCTGTAAAAAAAAATTCAGAGATTTGCTTGCTGATGTTTTGATAAGATCTGCGATGAAAGATAAACTATTGCTAGGGGCCGGTAAGTAATCATAGATAACTATTATATGGAATCGATTTTTTTATAGCCCAAGAGGATATTGGAAGGGTATTGCAGCTGTTAGTAAAATTACTGATGGAGCAGATGACCCATGCTCTGTTGCTTAAGATTGGTTAGCACGACAGGTAATATGGCAAATTTATCCTCCGCCGCCTAAAAAAAAATTCAGTACGCACACTTTGATGTCAGCACTCCCAATGAGGTTCATAAGGCAGATATTTTGTTTTTACCACATGATACTATTAAAACTGGTAGACGTCTATCGCGCACATAGAAATACGCGTTGATTATTGTTGATGTTGCAAGTAGATATAGAGAAGCAGAACCACTATCAACAAAAACAGAAACTGAAGTCACATATGCGTTTGAACGAATTTATAAAAGTGTCGGCCTTCGATCACCACAGTTGCTACAGGTTGATTATGGCAAAGAATTTCTTGGTGCAATAACATCGCCGATGCAACAAAATAACTTCAAAATCAGACGAGGGCACACCGCAGTTCATCACGATCAGGCAATCGTTGAGCGATTTGTCCGAACATTTGCTGAGCGATTGTTTGGATATCAGTATACGCAAGAAATATCCGCCGACTTTTAAGTCCGTTGATAAGAGATTTCATGAATGGGCTTTTAAACTACCAATTGTGATAGAAGCGTTAAATAATAAAATTACTCGTGTAATTTATAAGATCCCATCAATGCAGTCTCGAAGAAACATACCATTTAAGTGAAATTATTCTTTCTCAAAGCAACCAATACTTGGTAAGATATTTATATGAGTAGTGGGAGCTGCTAGAGGGAGGGGATAAAAAAAATAGAGCGACTGATCCAGTCTGGAGTGTAACCACGCATAACATTTTCAGCGTGGTAACATCCACGGGTAGACCTGCAATTTACAGACTAGATTCAACTGCTCCTCAACGTGGATTTGCTCGTGAGCAGTTCCAAGTAATTCCTGAAAATATAGAATTACAACTATCCTCCGATTTGCAACTATCAAAATCAGCAGGCCTCTACAAATTCCAAAAAATCGTCGTTGGTTGTTTCTGGAATTACCTTATGCATTATCTCACATGGAATCTTATCTGGCTGCAGTCTGATTAGCGTTTTGAACTCTTTCAGCTATTCATCAATAGCTCTATGATCATCAAATATTTCCTCATAATAATCTACGAATTCTTTTAACCAGCGATGTTGCGATTCACCGACAAAAGGTGGCGGTTTATCAAGATCACAACACATGATAACAGAAGCTTTCAGAGTCAATAAACAATCAAGAAAAATTTTTGACACGTCCATGGATACCGTGCCAGTGTCAACCCTGATAATGATTTTATAAATATATTTCTCACCCATTTGTTTAGGTGTCCGTGAATCCACCTTCCACTGAAAGAAACTATGATAAGTGTGAGATTTGACACCTCTTTCATCTCTCTGGCAAGTCGGTGAGTCAGAATGAGTAAAATCATGTAAAGATTCCGAAATAGTTTTTGAAATATATAATAGTAAGGTTTCTTGGCCGAGCGATAGTGCTACGGTTTTCATTATCAACGTGTATAGACTGGTGTTCAAATCTCGTGACTGACACATTTGTCGACGGTTGCAATAAATCGCATTTAATTATTGAGGGTTACAGCCCAACAAAAAAATATAACTATAACTAAAACTTCGTGTACACCATCCCACCCTATTAAACAACGTGGTTGGTGTTGATTTTTCACCACACGGGGTTTGATTATCCGGGTAGGTGTGCAAAAAATGTAAAATTATGTTGATTGTGGAAATTACTTGCACGTACAAACGCGTAGCCCCTCCACAAGTGGAGGGCTCCAGGAGATGGAAAATAGGAACCCCCGCCTCATGGTAAAAAATAGAGTATGAGTAAACGAGACAGTGACTTGTAATCATGAAGCAGTAGCTCCGATAAAATAATTATAAGAACGATAGCACTGTAAGTCTTGGTGTAAACAAACGGATGGTGACCAAGGAAAAGTAGCACCAGTAAAGATATGAGAACGATATCTCTGTAAGTGAGCGCTCCCTGACAAAGTTGTTGTTGTTATAGGGTTTAAAGCCATTTTTTAGCACAAGATAGGCTATACATGGCGGCCAGTATTAATGCTGGAGGAAGAACCCTGGAAAACCCAGGGAAGAACCACCGACCCACGAGAAGCTACTGGCAGGCTTTTTCACATGCCCATGTTAGCCGAGTCTGGACTCGAACTCACGCAGACAGAGGTGAGATGGCAGTGATCCGTAACGGTAAGCGCTTTAGAGTTAAGGAGAATAAAAACCAGGGTACAATAAGCAAGAAGTACCACAATGTCAGGGGGGGGGTATAAAACACCAAAGGGCACAATGACCAAGTTCATGAAGCAGTAGCATCGATAAATATATG